TCTAAAATTTCTTGTTGGCTGTCTTTATTTGTTTACTTCATAATTTGTAGTTATTTTATGAGTGTAACATCTTAATTCATTTCTGCAAGCATCTTAAACAGTCTTTGAATGTTTTTCTCAGCTTTTTCATCACAGATCAAAAAACCTGGCAAAAACAACTTAGAGGAGGAAAAGTTTATTTTGGGCTCATGGTTTCAAAGGTTTAGTCTATGGTTGTCTAACTACATAGTTCTGGGCTAAAGGTGAACCAGAACATCATGGTGGAAGGGCATGGCTGAGGAAAGCAGCTCATGATAACCAGAAAGCAGAGTGAGACCTCTGCTCACCAGGGACAAAATATAAACCCTAAAGTCATATCTGCAGGTACTTACTTCCTCCAGTTACACCCTCCTTGCCTATAATCACCACCAGTTAATCCGTATTAGTGTATTAATCCACTGATTAGGCTATAACTCTCATAATCTAGTAGTTTTATCTCTGGACAGTCTTGCACTGTCTTATACATGAACTTCATATTTAAAACATAACAAGTGGTACTTTTAAAAACTGTTATTTTCTACTTCCTTCCTCTCCTCACCTTTGTTCATCTCCTACACCATCTGAACATGGTCTAGAATTATGTCTTGATAATGATTTAGGTTTCCTAGCCATCGTGATACCAGAAATAGTATATATGACTTCATTGATCTTGTTGACCACAGAATTTTCTAGCCTTCTTGGGTCTGTAACATATTAATAAATAGCTTCAAGAATCTCCAGCAAATGATTTTTCAGCCTTCTATTATGAACAAGAAAGACCTTCCACAGTCCCATCCCCTAAATAGTGACTGTAGCTTTTATTCTCCATCTTTCATAGAGAATATTTTGTTCCTGAGAGCGCATAATACTCAGACTAATGGCATCCAATGTCAGATTCCCATCCTATATCTCAGAAATCCAAGGGTTTCAACCCTACTATTTTATCTGTTCCATTTCTGATTTGCATTATTTAATTTTCTGTTTTTATTTGCTATCTATAATTTCTGTGTGTAGGACAGAGTGTGGTACACAGATGCATACATTTATTTCACAAGCTTGATCAAAGAACCCTTAGTTATTTTCATCTTTAAGTCCATGTCAATGGTTTATAAACATAAAATATACCCAAGTAATATTATTAAAAATGTTACCTAGATTTGGAAATTAAGTCAAACTTTTGGTTGAAGAATGTATGATTAATCTCACTCTGAAAATATTAAATTCTTTGGAAAGCAAAAGTGTATTCAGGAAAATTATATATGGAAGAATTTTGCTTCTATGAGATAGTTTCATTTTGAATAGAAAAAACAAAAAAAATTAATGTTTATTTATTTTTAGGAGAATTACATAAAATCTGACAAACCAATTACATTTCTTACATATCTGTTTGATTTCAGTATATAAATTTATTTTAAATGACAACCGTATTATACATGGCTTATAAATATATAAACACATCTGCATAACATTTTAAAATTTTCATTGTTTAATATCTAGTAGTTTTATACCTGTAATTAAAATTTGAAATCACGTCACTATCTTTTACTTTAAAGTTAAAATATTCATTGTTATTAAATCTTAACAAGATTAAAGAAATTTATGCTTGTTTAAAATAATCTAACATAGGGTTTAAAAAGTACTAATTTTGATCCAAGGTATTCTATGTGGCTACTTCTAGTCTTAAAAGTCACTCTAATCTTGAGCTGGGGTTGTGGCCCAGAGGTAGAGCGCTTGCCTACCATGCATGAGGCACTGGGTTTGATCCTCAGCACCACATAAAAATAAAATAAATATATTGTGTCCACCTGTAACTAAAACATATTTTTTTAAAAATCGCTTTTCATCTCAGATAAAAGGGTTTGTTGAACAACAAAATAAATGATGATATACTGGATCATAACACCAATACTAAAATATATATTAATGAGTCCATATATAAAGAAGTAATAACTGAGTAAGTGTGGGAGAAGACACAATTATTCCTTATGGAAGAAAAACTAATGTAAATGAATCAGGAAAACAGAAAATCACCATTAGAATGCCCCAATATTAACTGCCGCAGTAAATACCCAGCAGTGGATATTAAAATTTATTTTATGCAAAAACATGACATTTACAAAGTTTCAAAGTATCTTCCTCCAAGCATTTATTAATTACAATGAGAGAAATAGTAACTAATAGTGGAGAAGCTTGGCAGACATTGTCTTAACCAAGAGTTCAAGATTAACATCACCTTAGGATTGGGATGTAGTTTAGTGATAGAGTGCTTGCCTAGCATGCATGAGGCACTGGGTTGGATCCCCAGCACCTCAAAAAAGATTGAAATCATATTAATATTGAGCTATGCACACTTAAAGATGGTTAATAGAGTAAATGTTTGTTGTGTTTTTGCAATGAAAAAATATCACCAGTATAGTGACATATCGATATCGTACACCTGCTGATAATACGCTCTAAGGACACAACACTTCTGTAGTTTTCTTCCTAATAAAACCTAATCCAAGCCTAATCATGAGAAAACAAAAAACAATGCCAAGCTGAGAGAGATTTTACTGATAACTGACCTAGTACTCTTCAAAAGCCTCAAAGTTATGAAAGATAAGGAAAGACTAAGGAACTATCACAGATAGTAGAGACTCAGGCTATAAACCAACTGGATGTACTATGAGGTCCAGGATTGGATCTTTGAGCAGAAAAAGGACACTGGGGATAATAGTGAAATCTGAATAAAGTCTGTAGCCTAATAAAATTTTACCAGTTTTAATTTCTTAATTTTGATGATTGCACTATCGTTATGTAAGGAGTTAATATTAAGGGAAGCCAAACAAATATATAGGAACTCTTAAGTATTTTTGCAATTTTATAAGTCTAAAATTACAATTAAAAGTTTTGTAAAGAGTTTAAATTCTTGGGCTGGGGATGTGGCTCAAGCGGTAGCGCACTCGCCTGGCATGCATGCGGCCCGGGTTCGATCCTCAGCACCACATACAAACAAAGATGTTGTGTCCGCCAAATACTAAAAAATAAATATTAAAAAAAATTCTCCCTCTCTCTCACTCTTCTCTCTCCCTCTCTCTCTCCTTCTCTCTTTAAAAAAAAGAGTTTAAATTCTCCTGTAGAAATGTAGGCCTATATGCCAAAGTTTAAAAAGGCCATTGAAGCAATTTGCCTAAGCAACATAGATGCTTTTAATTTTTTAAATATCAATCATTTTGTATTAGACACTCTTCAAGGCTCTTGGCTTACAACTTTAAATAAATACAAATAGTTCTGATGTTACTTGACATATTGGCAAGAATAATTGTCATAATTATTTCCATTCTTTAATTTGCTTATGGATACCTGGACTTAATCTCAGCTTATGTGCCTCATCATATCATATTCAGTTAATTGATACAGAGATTTTCATAGTTTTTAATTTTCAGGTACAATAGGAATTTTCATGGGAACTTGAAATCTAGATAAAAATTAGATTAGATCATCATTTAATCCAGTACTCAAATATGAACTCAGTGACAATATTTTCACTAGTTTAATGCAAAAATAAGAAAAAGACAAAACTTTCACAAAACTCCATATATTTTGTATTTGAAGAATGGTTTTTATCATGAGATTATTGTCTTCCCATTTTGTATTGAAATTTTATTACCATTTTGTAAAATTATACAAGCATGCTGATCTTATTCTATTATTTTATGCAAAATCATGATATTTACAAAGTTTCAAAGTATCTTCCTGCAAGCACTTATTAATTACAAGGAGAGAAATAGTAACTAATAGTGGAGAAGCTTGGCAGACATTGTCTGCCAAGACAATTCTTATGGGTGGTGGGCACAATGATAGGATTCACTTAGGTATTTTCATATGTGTACACAGGAAAATTATATTAGATTTATTCATTGTCTTTCCTATTCCTATACCCCTTCCTTTCCTTTCATTCCCTTTTATCTAATCTACTGAACTTCTTTCTCTCCCTCCCCACTTTATTGTGGTTTAGCTTCCACATATCAGCAAAAACATTCAACCTTTGTTTAGAGATTGGCTTATTTCACTTACTGTCATGTATAACTAAGAAGAACCGGTAAAAAAAAAAAAGTAAGAAGCACATAAACACAAAATCAAACTGCAGAAACTGGAAAGACCATATAAAGACCATACAATGAAAAAATTTTTCTATAAAGAATCAACACTGAGAATGTTAGTTGACTTATCACTTTTAATTGTGGACACAGGAAAAAAATGAAATAAAATGTATCTTCAAAATGTAAAACAAAAGTTATTTATGAAATAACAGGTCTTATTTCATTTAACTTGGAAAAAATAAATCTGTGTTCCCTTTCCATTGTTTGTGTTTGTGTAATGATTTATGAAATTCAAAGTCTGAAAATCACTGCTCCATGTAATTTTCTTTCCTTATCCTTGACATTAAGACAGGCTCTATTTATCATTGAATATAATCAAATACAAGTAGTTGGGTAGCTCTTATTTAATCATGTTTTAGTAAGTAATTACAGCTTTTCTACAAAATTAATTCTATGTTCTTTCTCCCTTAAAGTCTCTGATTTCAGCCTTCCCTAACTGATCTTAATCCAAATACACTAAAACACTATTTTGTTTTGTGCAAGAAAGATCTTTACTGCAAATGAGTAGGATTGTAACACAATTTATGGAAAATATTTAATAAGAAAAAATTATTGATATTCTGCATTTGCTTCATCTATTCTCAAAATATTAAAGAAAACACTGAAGGCAACAATAGGTTACACCAATTCTGTCCTAAGCATCTCCAACATTTAAGAAATAACAGCACTAAATTTTAGTATATTCCTGGTTACTAAGTCTATAGTCGTGTGGTGACATTAGGTATGAGTCATAAATCCAAAATGAAGCATATATTAATAAAGATGATATGTATTAATAAATGTATGTTTGAGAATTATTTTAAGAATACTACTCTATAATTCCAGGTACAAATATTGTACCTTCCTGTAAGATTGGAAGAAGATATGTCCTGTATTAAATAAGGTATAAAATTAAAATCTCATTAAAGCTAACTTAATTTTCAAGCCAGAGTAATATTGGTTACGTTGATGTTTTGACATTGGCTTTTCTTTTAGAATAAGAGGGCTCAAGAGCTTATGAAGGCAAAATAATGATCAAAAAGACTAACTTGTTTACCTACTCCATCTACTTTTATGAATGATGTACTGGAAATACCTTTTTTCTCATTTTTAATGTCATAACTTGAGAATACTCACAGAGGAAAATGACTTGCAATCAAATTTGTTACTACCTGAAAATATATCTTTTAAGGCCACTTAATTGGTATTAATGAGCTTTTTTCTTTTAATGCCTTTTGATTTTTTTAGTTGTTCTACAAATTATAAAATAATTTAAATTTTCTATAGCACTTAATTGCACAAAATAAATGTTCTATAGCACTTATGACAGCAGTCCTAATTTATTTTTATCCTCATTCACCCTTCATTTCCCTTATTCAAATAACTGCTCTTTGATAAGGCAAGGATAGACATCTGGATATGAAAGAAAGACTTGAGATTTACTTAAAACTTCAAACAACCATTAAGAAATCAATATCTAAATTAAAAAATTAATTAAATTAAAAAATTAATTCTGGAGTACATTCCTGAACTGAATCTCTTTATATCAGACCTTACCCTTCCTTCCCATCTTGGTAATCTGTGAAGACCACTATTGACTAGGCATTTTCATGATTATGAATGATGACATGCAAGATGTTGATTCAAAGATGGTCCCCATCAGGGACAAAAATCTAGAAATTTCTGAATAATAAACTATATCTCTTTGTCAAACATGAATGCTTCCTGATATATCAAAACTGGAAGCTTGTTACCTATATATGTACAACCTTTCTACTGGAAAATAAAGGCAAAATAAGGGCTATCCTTATGGAATTAAGTATTGCAATGAATCTCATGGGGGAAACAATGTCTCATTCATTATTTTCCTGTCTGAGGAGATAAAAATGAAGTCCCTGTCACATATGTTCTTACATATGTGGTGGCATTCCTTCAAACAGTTCCAAACAGGATTACAGATATATGAACTAGAGATCAGGATAACTATTTTGTACTAAGTAAGTTAAGCCTCACTCTGGGTTTCTCATTTTCAGCAAACTTGGTACTCTTCTGTCTGCTAAAGCTGTAATCTACTACCATTTTTGTTTCAGTGAGGATAGGAGAGCTTTGCATACCAAGTATAGAATTGTGTTTCACTTCTGTTACTAAGGGCTATTACTATGAGCTACATATAGTCATCAGATACCTGGGTATGGTCCTCTGACCCCCGAGACCTATTCCTGTTAGAATCTGTTGGTAAACTGGATCTGTCCTCTGTTCTTACCTCTCCAGAGGCATGAGGGAAAGGAAAATTGGGCATAAAGCGCTTAAGAAACCGGAACTCACTATTGCCAGTGCCAGTGGCTGAGCATATTTCATATGTACAAGGCCGAGATAAGGATCCATTGCCTTCTCCTTGTACCAGGTTTTTAGGGAAGTTACAGTCATCATAGAAATGCTCTTGAATTGTGAATGTGTCTCTGTGTTTAATCTTCTGGTAGATGTGAATAATGAAGATCACTGTAACAGAGAGAAGAAACAGAAAGGAAAGCACAGCCAGAGAAATAACCAAATATTTAGTGGTTGAGTTTACCTTCTTAGAATGCTTGGATGGATCCCAGAACCTCAGATAAGGCTCTGAAAAGCCATCTACCAGCAGGATATTCAGTGAGGCAGTAGTGGAAAGAGCTGGTTGGCCATGATCTTGAACAAGAATAGTCAGTTTCTGCATCATGGGGTCTCTCTCAGATATCTGCCTCAATGTTCGGATTTCCCCATTTTGTCGCTGAACAGAGAATAACCCAAGGTCGGTGGCTTTAAGTAGATGGTATGAAAGCCAAGAATTTTGACCTGAATCACCATCAACAGCCACCACTTTGGTCACCAGATAGCCTGCCTCTGCAGATCTGGGCACCAGGTCATTGCAGGGCAAAGTGCCATTCTGCAATGGGTACAAGATCATTGGACGATTGTCATTGTCATCCAGAACAACCACTCTGACAATAACTTGGCTACTCAGTGTCAGGAAGCCCCCATCAGTTGCCTTTACCACAAACTGAAAATCTTGAATGGCTTCATAATCCATAGTTCTCAAAGCATACAGCTTCCCATTATCTGAATTTATGGAGATGTAAGCAAAGACTGATAGATCCCCACTTTTTGGAGGCAACAGAGAATATGTCACTTGGGCATTCTCACCCAAATCTAGATCCTCAGCATGGACTTTACCAATAAAAACTGCAGGGCTGTTGTTTTCTCGAACAGTCAAGACATAGGAATCTTTCTGAAACATTGGAGGATTGTCATTAATGTCAGATATTAGCACCTCTATCACAGTCTCTGTGGACAGGTTGGGTGGTCCTGTGTCCATGGCAACAATAGTGATATTGTAGCCTGAGACATCCTCACGATCCAAGCTTTTGTCAGTCACCAGTGAATAAGAATTTCGGAATGTAGGTTTGACTACAAAGGGAAGGTCTTCTCTGAGGAAGCAAGTGATTTTTCCTCCCACTCTGATGTCCCGATCTCTGATAGTAAAGAGGGCCACCACAGTCTGTAGTGGCGAGTCCTCAGGCAGAGGGCTAGACACAGAGGAGACCATCACTTCAGGAGGATTGTCATTTACATCCATCACTTCCACCAGAACTTTGCTGTGGGCAGAGAGTCCTCCTCCATCCGTAGCTTGAACGTCAATGTCATATGTTTCTGTAGCTTCAAAATCTAGTGGCTCTCGGAGCCGAACCTCTCCAGTATGAGAATCAATTTGAAATGTCTGGAGAATTGCTTCTGGGTTTTGAGCTAACGAGTAAGTTATCTCCTTGTTGGTGCCCTCATCTAGATCCGTGGCAGTCACTGTAGCCACCAAAGAACCAATGGAGCTATTCTCTGGTACCTGAGCACGATACACCAATCGTGAGAACTGGGGCACGTGGTCATTGACATCCAGAACCACCACGCGGATGTGTGCAGTGCCAGACTTGGGTGGGGACCCGCCATCCACCGCAGTAATTGTTAAGTTAACTTCAGCCTGTTCCTCTCTATCCAGGGGTTTATCCAGCACTAGCTCGGCATATTTGGGCCCATGGCTCCGGAAGCGGGTGTGCAGGTGAAAATATGCGTTGGCGCTTAGGGTGTAGTTTTGGAGACCGTTGAGGCCCACGTCCAAATCCTGGGCGCTCTGCAGAGGAAAACGTGAACCCAAAGGAGTGCTCTCCGGAATCTTTAACAGTGGTTCCTTGTTTTGAAAACTCGGGGCATTGTCATTGATATCAAATACCCTGACTTCCACACGGAAGGACTGCAGCGGCTCTCCCAGGACAATTTCAAAGTGCAGAACGCATGGGTCAGCTTTGCCACAAAGTGACTCCCGATCCAATTTTTCCTTCACGAACAAATCTCCCGTCTTGCGGTGGAGCCGGAAATGCAGCTTGTTGCCCTCGGAAACTAGCCTAGCCCCGCGCGCAACCAGCTTCCCTACCTCCAGCCCCAAATCCTTAGCCACATTGGCTACAAACGAGCCGCTCTCCATTTCCTCTGCCACCGAATAGCGGATGGTGGCTGCATCCCCCACAGATACACACAAAAAAAGGAAAAGAGACGCCACTTGCCTGTTTTGCAAAGGTTTTCTGCTCGTAACCGCCATTAGTTCCCACAAATGTACTCCTTGCAGCCGCCGCCACCTGTTGAGAATATACTTTCACTTTTCCGCAACAGGCTCCTTCAACAGGGCTCACCGCTTTACTAATCTCTAATCGCAACGCGACCAAAGGCTCGCTGAACTGGTACACTGTTTTACGCTGGAAAAAAAAAAAAAAAAAAAAAAAAAAAAACTTTGCTTTGAGCAACCCGACACCCCAGTTTATCCAATGTATTAATAGATATGTTCTCATTCCGGAGAGTTGGGCAGAGGTTGGAAGTTTGTTGCCAAAGCAACGGTAGACTCGCCTGTTAATCCCCTTTCAAGGGAAAAAAAAGTCCTTGGGAATTGAGAAGCCAATGAGGATGTTCGTTCAAACTGACGTCACTGTATTTGCTAGCCAGCTGGGGCCACTGCGGCCATGGGCAAACAGGGACCGCTTTAAACTTTATGTGCACGCTTCACAGTCCTCCCAGAGACCGAGAAAATAGCAAAAAGGACCCTGCAGTGTCTTCTGGAGCCCAAACAAAATGTATTAGGCAGCAGAGGTATCCAGGAGACAGCGGCAGACGTGAGGGAGAGCAGGAAAGAATGGAGGAAGAAGTCAGTAGGCAAAGAAAAGGGGAGAGGCTGACGTCCTTCAGGAACCTGAGGTCCAGTGGATATAATGAGAAGGGAGTAAGACAACTGGCCTCAGATCCATTCCTTGCTCCAGAACCCTAAAATGCTTAGGAAGCAGCTTGTTGTTTGTCACCTATGATTATTATGGCACTAATATTTATTGGATATGTTTTCTATGTACCAACACTCTGTTAAAGCGATTTACATGCATTATTTAATTCAATCCTTGCAACAAGGAAGACATTCTTAAAAAAAAAAAAAAAAAAAAGACCAGAAAACAGAAATAGGAAAGATTATGTCACACCCTATGGTCCTTTACTTTGTAAATGTTAGAGATAAAATTCAATTCAATTTTGTCTGACTTCACATTTCTATACTTTAATCAATATATTACTGTTTCCCAGATAATTCAGTAAACCAAATGAGGAAACCATACGAAGAGAAATATTTGGCTTTGGATTTCAAAACAGAAAAATTAGCCCCAATTCCCTCCCATTACTTTATTTGTTTTATATGTTTTTAATTAAATTATTTATTTATTCTATTTTGTTATATATGATGGCAGATTGCAATTTATTTCATATTAAACATAGCACAATTTTTGTGTTTTTTTTAATTGATTTTATTTTTTTAAATACATGACAGCAGTGGAATGCATTACAATTCTTATTACACATATAGAGCACAATTTTTCATATCTCAGTACATAAAGTATGTTCATGCCAATTCATGCCTTTATACATGTACTTTGGGTTTTTTGCATTACAATTCTTAATACGCATATATACCACAATTTTTCATATCTCTGATTGTATATAAAGTATGTTGACACACAATTCAAATCTCCATGCATATACTTTGTATAATGATGTCCATCACATTCCACCATCCTTGCTAATCCCCTGTCCCCTCCCTTTCCCTCCCACCTCTCTGCCCTATCTAGAGTTCATCTAATCCTCCCATGCTGTCCCTCCCTACCCCACTATGAGTCAGCCTCCTTATATCAGAGAAAACATTCTGCATTTGTGTTTTAGGATTGGCTAACTTCACTTAGCATTATCTTCTCTAACTCCATCCATTTACCTGCAAATGCCATGATTTTCTACTTTTTTAATGCTGAGTAAAATTCCATTGTGTATATATGCCATATTTTTTTATCCATTCATCCACTGAAGGACATCTAGGTTGGCTCCACAGTTTAACTATTGTAAATTGTGCTGCTATAAACATTGATGTGGCTGTGTCCCTATAGTATGCTGTTATAAGTCCTTTGTGTATAGACCGAGGAGAGGGATAGCTGGGTCAAATAGTGGTTCCATTCCCAGATTTCCAAGGAATCTTCATACTGCTTTCCATATTGACTGCACCAATCTGCAGTCCCACCAGCAATGTATGAGTGTACCTTTTCCCCTACACCCTTGCCAACACTTATTGTTGTTTGTCTTCATAATAGCTGCCATTCTGACTGGAGTGAGATGATATCTTAAGAGTAGTAGTTCTGATTTGTATTTCTCTGATTGCTAGAGATTATGGGCATTTTTTCATATATTTGTTGATTGATTGTATATCCTGTTCTGAGAAGTGTCTGTTCAGGTCCTTGGCCCATTTGTTGATTGGGTTTTTTTTTTTTTTTGGTGTTTAGCTTTTTGAGTTCTTTATATACCCTAGAGATCAGTGCTCTATCTGATGTGTGAGAGTAAAAATTTCCTCCCAGGATGCAGGCTCTCTGTCACCTCACAGGTTGTTTCTTTTAGAGCACAGTTTTTCAAGTCACTGGTTGTACACAAAGTATTTTCACACCATTTGTGTCTTCATACATGTACTTAGGGTAACTCATTCCACCATCTTTCCTACCACTACTCCCCTTCCTTTCCCCTCCCTCCCCTTTGCCCTATTTAAAGTTCCTCCATTCCTTCCATGCACCCCCCCTTGCCATTATGAGTCAGCATCCTCATATCAAAGAAAACATCTGGCCTTTGGTTTTTTGGGGATTGGCTTATTTCACTTAGCATTATATTCTCCAATATGGATTTACCTGCAAATGCCATGATTTTATTCTCTTTTAATGCTGAGTAATATTCCCGTGTATATATATGAAGTTTCCCTATCCATTCATCTACTGAAGGGCATCTAGGTTGGTTCCACAATTTAGCTATTGTAAATTGTGCTGCTATTAATATTGATGTGGCTGTTTCCCTGTAGTATGCTGTTTTTAATTCCTTTGGGTATAAATGGAGGAATGGGATAGCTGGGTCAAATGGTGGTTCCATTCTAAGTTTTCCAAGGAATCTCCATACTGTTTTCCAGATTGGTTGCACCAATTTGCAATCCCACCAACAATGCATGAGTGTGCCTTTCCCCCCACATCCTTGCCAACATGTATTGTTGTTTGTATTCTTGATAGCTGCCATTCTGACTCGAATGAGATGAAATCTTAGAGTCCATTACTTTATTTTTAACAGATGAAGAAACTAATGTCCCAAATGATGAAGTCTATTGACCAGTTCATTCAGCTCTTCATAATAGAGTAAGAACTAGAACTTGTCTTCTGACACTCTGTCTCATGCTCAATATTCAAAGCATTTGATTTCTTATTTGTGGTCATCATTTCAATCCTAGATGCTATACAAATAATGTCACATAAGATAAGCCAAAATCATATTTTTCAAATGAGATCAAAGTGAATGAAAACGAAGTGTACAAAATATTAACGACATCCTGACATGCAGGAGTTCATGGAACCCCTCAATCTATCAGATATCTTAACACTTGCTTAAGTGTATGTTTTAAACTATTTAGTTTTGCCTCAAAATTATATCTAAAGTATATAGCAGATAATTCTTTGAATCTAGTTTTTTCCCCCTCATTATTTAGCTCAATGTGAGATTGGTGTTGTTGTGTTTAGCTCTATTTGATTCACTTTCATTACCACTTTATAGAATTCCTGTATGTATTGTCAGTGTCCTTCAACAAAGACCATCATTAACACCTGTATTTGAACAAAGTTATATTGACTGACTTACTACAACAGGGTAAACTACACACTATAGTAGATAATGGGGCATTTAAATAAGAAAGTTATAATAAAGAACATAATGGTATTTGGTTTTATGTTTGGTGGTTTGGAAGAGATTTGAAGTGGGACTTTGCTCCAGATTGCATACTGTCATAAGTGAGGTTAATTCTATGGTGGTATATTAATAATTCTTATGCAGAAGATGAAGCAAACAGGGTAAGACTAACATTTTTACTGGCAAATAAGTTAGTTACTAATATTGGCCAGGATAGAGATGTTTGGTCATTTCTATGGATTGGATTATGCCCTTTTTGTCTGTATTTAGACAAAATTGTGGGGTGCTCTTTTTTTCTCTTAACCCATCACCATAGTGTTTCCTGATGTTAGTGAAACTGAAATTATTTTTGTTCAATAGAACACTATGGCCTGTCACTGAATATAAAGCCATCTCCTGGACATCAAGTACTACTTTCATCCTTTTTAGAATGAATGCACCAAAGTTCATTTACCCATTCTATTATATATATATATATATATATATATATATATATATATATATATATATATATATATATAATTTTGTGAACATGTATACACATTTTGAAGGGGGAAAGTATATACCTAGAAGTGACTCTGATGTCATAAGTTATATTCTCTTTTCAGCTTCACCTGGTATTGCCAAACTGCTTTCTAAAAGGTTATATCAATTATACTGTCATCAGAAGTGTAAATTCTAATTGTTCACATTATTTCAAACACTTTATGTCTTGGTCTTTTTTCTGTCGTTAATAATACAATAACACAGATAGGGTAATTTATAAAGAAAAGATGTTTATTTTGAGTCATAATTCTAGCTCAAGGTCAAGGAGTCACATCTGGTGGTGAACAACCTGCTGGCAGAGTTCTGGGCAATGTAGAGATCACACAGTAAGAGAGGCAGAGAGTAAAAGCACATCTGTTCCAAATTGGCTCCTTTTTAAAATCTCAAGACCTACCTACTCTTGGAACAACACATTAATCTATTAATCTCATGAATAACCTCCTAAAAGTCTCCTGTGGTCCTACCTCTTAATATAGTGAGGATTGCATTCTTTTAAAATTTTTCTTTAAGCTTTTCCTTTTATTAGTGCAGTACATCTGTAATAATAGCTGGGTTCATTTTGACATAATCATACAGGCATGGAATTTGATTTACTCTCTGCTATACCCCCTTTCCTTTCTCTCCTCCCCCAGGAAGAGAAGAGGATAGTATTTCAACATGACTTTTGCAATGAACAAGCCATATTCAAATCATGGCAATTTGCCTTACTAGTCTTCTAAAATTCTACCCATCCTGGTGAGTGTAAGTGTTCAGATTTCATTGTTTAGTTTGCATTTCTCTGCTTATTAACTACTGGTGAGGTGGAGCACTATTTAATACATTTTTCATCCATTTGCTTATCTTTTTATTTTTTGGAAGTTTCTGCTCAATTGCCTTTGCCCATTTTTTTTAAAACTCAAAATAAACA